GGTGCAACCCTCAGGCAACCCCCGGAGGCACCGGCTGCTCAGTTTCCCAAGAAGCTTTGTCTGAAACCACAGTTGTGTCTGCAGAAGAAAGGGATTTTGTTCACCTCCCTGACCACAGGGCTGGGTCGCTGCAAGGGCCACCACCCACTGGAGTACATCGCCTTTCTGTGTTCATAGCTTATACTGACCTGACACCCAATAAATAAATGGGTTTATAATATATCTAGAGGCAAAGAAAGCAATACTGCATGTGCCTGTCTGGGTTTTGTCCTCTTCTTCAGGCACTGGCTACTGCTGAAGTTGGGAGGAGACAAGGTTTTAGCCTCGATGTTCTCCCTCCTCATTATTATAGGGCTGGGTGGATTGGCTTGCTCTGAAAATTTGCTCTACCCTGGCTGCCCAAACCAGCTGTTTATTTTATCACAGGGTTGCTTCGAAGCATTGGAAGATGCATCCAACTTCACTAGGCTTGTTCCTCATGGGCCAAGGACCATGCACATGGGGTTCACCAAACCACGGTGGTGCACAAATGGAGGAAGCAGTCATGCAAATTAACAGCATTCTCAACTAAACATCTATGTACATTACTATGGGCTGGTGCACTGCTTGCTCATACTCCCTTTTCAAGTAATACTCTACTCCTTGATGTCTGAAGAGAGGAATAGAGATCCTTGCCCTGGTCTGTGCAGACTTGGAGGGGTGTCCAACTCTGTGTGCTAATGAAGCCAAAGCCAGACAGCAGCTGACAGACGCTGCTGAAGTGGGCTCAGAGGAGAGAAAAAGAACAACTCAGAGGCAGAAACAAAGCAATACAGACCTGCAGCCCATGGGCCTCGACATAATACCTCTCCTGCTGCGCTGCGATGGCCATCAGCAGAGTTAACCTTCCACTCTAATCACAATCATTAAATTCCCGCTAACGCCCCTGTCCTATGTCTGTCCAAACAGCTCTGTTATCTGTCACCTCCCCACACGGTGAGCCCGGCTCCCCACCGCCGCAGCTCTCATTAATGCTGCTCTGGCTGGCTGATGAGGCAAGTGGCAGCCAGCTCCGGAGCCCAGATGAGTTTTGTAGACAGCAGGGAATGTTTATCCAACATGGAGGGGATGAAAGTACAAACAAAGAAAGACCGTACAATTAATCAGGCATTGCACAGCGCCAGTCTCATTAAAGACAGTCTCCCTGACAGGAATTAATCTGAAGTGATAACCCAGTGAGCTAATTTAGCAAATGGGTCTGGGGCTTGGCCTGGTGCAAATTTCAGGGGTCTGTCTGGCAGGTAGAGCTGAGCCTGCTCTGAGGCGGGGAAAGGCAGGAATGTGTTAAACTGGCCCTGTTCTGGCCTGAGCCTACGTATCAGAAGGTATGGAAGAGACTGCAGCCTCAGGTCTCCTTGAGGGGCACAATGAAGATTAAACTTCCCTACTACACCAATACCTTCTCCTCCTTCTTTCACTTGCAGCCTCAGGTCACAGATGGGTTCCAGCTCATTAAATGCACAGTAATTCTGCCACTATCCCCTGTAACCGTAACCACCAGTCCAACTCAGATCTTTCCTCCAGGATGCAACCTGCTTGCAATATTAGATGGCTTTTCATTTCTCTTTAATGTTAGAGCAGAGCTCTGGGAGGGGATAAAATACACAGAAAGAAACAAGCAACTTAAAAGGCTTTTTATTTTTTAAGCAAAGATCTGGTCTGGGGAGGCTGCTTCGAATCCCCAAGAAATGAAAAGCGTTTTCAGTTGGACTGCAGTGCCTCAGTGCCTTTCTATGCTGTAAGAATACATAGAAGAAAAAAAAGCTGACCAAATAAATACCCCAAAAGCCTCATGGCATCTGCCCACAACCAAAACACCCAAGGCTGTGGACTCATTAAGTTCACTGGCTAAGGTGAAGTAAGATGGTCGGCATTTAGATCAGTTGTCTTGGAACAAGAAAGAAAAAACCACCCAAGCCATCAGGACAGACGTCTGTAAGGCCCCTGCTGTTCCTCAGTGGGGATGTTTTCCCCTCTGAATTGCCACTCAACACAGTGGCCACTGCCTAAGCCCACCCAACCAATGTACTCTGGGCAATAACAGCTTATATGGTGCCAAGACATACAACAGGCTTACAAGAAGCTTGCTCCACATTGCTATTGTATTCACTTTGACTGGGTCAGTGGCTCCAAGCTGTCAGGCTGTTTATTTGGTTTTAATCGAGAATTAGTTCTTATTCTACTGGAACTGGTACGTCTGCTGCACCACTCAGCCTGCTCCGCAGTGCCAGGAACAATCACCTCCTGTGGAAATGAACTAACTGCCCGTCTTGCTGGGAGCCCCCATGCATTGCTTAGGAAACCAAATTCCCCCAGACTGCTTGTAATCCCCCCAGGAATGCCCAACCAGCCCTCAGAAGCTGATGAACAGGAAGAGTTGGAGGAGCCACAGCACTAGCCAATTAATAAGCAGCACTCTTACTCTCACCCAGCCCTGTTTTCGGCAGCTGTGGCAAGCAAATTTAATTCAAGGGTTCCCAGGTGCCTTGCAAAGCATCCTGCTACTTGGGGATCTTCATATTACATATGCCAAGAGCTCTCCAAGCAAACCAGGGAGAGTGAAATGAAAACCAGCAAACTATTTCACAACCAGTGGGCATCCAGCTGGTTGCCCTTTGCATTCCAGCTCAGCAAGAGTTAATGCCCCTCAGACAGCTCCTCACCACGCCAAGACTGCAGACTGCTGCTGCCACATTCACCCCTAAGATGCTGAAGAGCATCTGTCATGACCATGAAGGCTGGGGAGCTCCCAGGGCTGGAGGAGAAGGTGGGCTGGCTGGCTGGCTAAGCTTTCATCAGCTTGAGGCTGGCAATAAATCAGTTGTGTCTGGCCGCGTGTAAGGCCCATTTTATCTGAGGAGAATATTCCACTTCAATCCTACCTCTCTAGGAGGATTTTTGTGCCATCACAGCTAGTGCCTGGAAGCCAGTGCATCCAGTGAGGAGGGCACAAAGACAAACAGCAGCTCCTCATTCAGGCAGACAAATCCCGTTTCTTAAGAGCTCTCCAGTCAGCAATGCTTTTAAGCTTTTGAGATTTTCACAGCTATATTCAGTAATGTCACTAAGTTCTGTTGTCCAGCGATGGAACAGCAGGATACAAATCTTAGCCCAGGTGCCCCAGCACAGAGAAGAAGGTACACCAAAGCATCAAAGCCTGTGGGACATGGAAGAGGATGATGGCACAAGGGAAAGAGCGAAAGGTGAGGAAGTGTCACAAGGCTGCCTGGAGTCCAGGTGAGACATCACTGGAAAAACACCAGGAAGGCAGGACAGGAGCACAGAGGCAGCTTTGGGAAGCAGCAGGTTGGAGACAAGAGGGGATGTGATCCTCTGGGACAAGGAAATGAAAAGGGCTCATCGACACCTCAGTATGGCACATGGAGGTGTGCCATACCTCACCATGAAATGCAAGTGTCTTCAGAGGAGGGCCAGAAGGAGGCCGTACCATGAAAGCCTTTTCTGGAGTGTTTCCTGCTTGTGTTTGACAGAAGTAAGAACACATCTCACCTGCTTCCTCCTCTCTCTGCCCTCCCTTATTCAGACCCAGGCCACCACCATCACGCCTGTAGCCATTTCTAAGAGCCTGCCCGTACCTGAGGCTGGGCTACTGCAGGGCGACGGCATAACACTCTTCTAAAACACACCACTCAGTAGTTGCAACTATGTGGTGGTGCCGTAAAAGAAACATTAACAGCAGTAACTGATAGGGTATGAACAAAACCAGGGGGGGTTAAGTTTGCACAGGCACTCAGCTTCCTTCACTACATAACTTAAAACAGAAATGTGATTTTCCCTTTTCTTGATCCCTTTCAGTAGGAGCTCAATGAGGAACAGATCTAAGATTACTTCAAGGCACTGTGCAAAAGGAAAAAAGTCTCAACATCACTGGAGAAGGATAAAAATCACAAATTAGTTCATTGAGTTGCAGTGCTGATAATAGCGAAATTCAGTTACGAGGGAAGGGGTACTATGACAAACTGCCTTCATTATTAGAGGCTCCCCTGTGTCCTGTATTATTATTAAGCACACACAATGTGCTCCGCATGGTGTGAGTAACAAACAAAGGCTGTCCCACCCCAGAGAGCTCACAATCAAACAGAGACATAAAACTGGAGCCTACTGTGCAGAACTAGAGGAAAGAGACACTTGGATCTTTTTAATTATTTTGTTTTCTATCTACAGTAAACAAACTTTTCCTTGCAAAATGCATTTGCTTCCAAGCTACCACTGAATGACAAGAACCACTAATTTTAAATGTTCCCATTTTTAAAAAATGTTGAATGCAGGCACTTCGCTGCACATGGATGAAAGTACCCGGCAATCCTGCTAGGTTAACGTGCTCTTTAAAAACATCAGACTCTTTTCCCTAACCTTCTCCAACCAGTGATCTCTTGAGATTTCCCTCAGTTCTCTCCCCCCCACATCCCAGTATGATTTCTCTTCAGACTCAGAAACCTTGAAACCCACTTCTCATTCCCTGCAGAGTTTATATAGTCCAAATAGCTTCATTAGTGTGACAGTATGAAAGCCCTTCTGCAACGCAAACATCCAATGATTTTTTCCTGCAGTTCCTGCCTGGAGAGTTCTTCAGCTTATTCCCTTTATTTCATAGGAGTGAGGAGGATGGAATTCCACTCGTTGGAGCCTTTGGCCTATAAAATCTACAATACCTACTAATGACTCTGCGGTTTTGTTCACATTAAAACCCCATTCAAAACACCGAGCTTGAACAGTCTGACGGGAGACAGCAGGGATTTGAAAGGCCCAACACCAGACATAAAAACGAACACCGAGCTGTGCACTTGGCCCGTCTCCTCCATTCGGTGGGGAAGACCACCAGAACCTGGCAATTTCATCGCCTTCAGCTCTTAATCGGCAAGGAGACATTGATGTAACTACCTCCTGAGAGGTTGTCTTCCCAAGGGCACGTGCTGAGGCTCTAGAAGAGCAGACCTTACCTGCCGGACTTCCAGGCGATACTTGAGGATGGGATCCACAGCATTGGGTTCCTTCTGTGTCCACTGCAAGACGTAAGAGTAATTCTTGGATTGCTTCTGGCTCAAGGTGGGGTTGGGAGTGTCATAGTAAAATTCTGGGCTGTAAGCTTTTGCTGGAGGGAAAAAAAAAAAAAAAAAAAAAAAAAAAAAGGGAGGAAAGTAGAAGAGTGGGATCAAGGGCAACATAAATTACAGAGATATGTAGTGAGAGTGGAACAGCTCCACTCACATTTGACACGTTGGACACCTTTACTATTGTAGCTGGTGTTGCACTGATGTGCCATCATTTTCTGTGAATCACTACTGATTTCACAGCCTGAGCTACTGGGAGGGTTAGCAGCCCTGCAACACCAGTGGGGCATGACTGAGACCAGAGAAGGTGGGAACAGCTATAGTTCTCCAGCTGGAACCAGCTCTACTCTTTTCTCTCTTGCTTTGTAGTTTAGATTGAGGTAACAGCTTTAAACTGGCATTTCCCCTGTTTCATCTGCTGCTTAACAGAGTCTCCTGCTAACAAACTCTAAGGAAAGATCATTTGGCTAGTAGGTCATAGGAAAAGTGTTATTTATCACACAGGGACCATGGCCTTAAAAAGGAGACCTTGCTCCTTTTGCATCTCCCCTGCCTTGGCAACACTGTGCTCCAGCCTCTTTGTAACGTGACAGCCAACTCAGCAGCAAAGGGGATGCTAACCTCAGCCTGGGTAAAAACAGCGGGATCTTTTGCAGGGGCAGAGATGCCTTTTCTCAACCCACATCTCCCCTCAAAAAACAGAGGGCAGCAGGAGGAAGGGAAACACAGGAGAAATGATGTACCAGAGAGAAACTGGACAGGGTCAGAGAAGGAGGGATTTCCCATAGTTTCCCCAGCTGCTGTTGTTCTGAACTACCAAATGGGATTCAAAGGCTGCTGCCATGCAGCCCAGCAGCTGGTGGGACTAATGCAGGGAGCCCAGAAGCTGCTCAAGGTCTTATCCACAACTGGTTTTGCCCTATTTGAAATTGCCTTCATTTCACCCTGTGCGTTTCAATTTTCAGCAGGTCCTGTCAGCTCCTGGGCCAGGCAGGAGTTGGCCCTGAACAAAAACTCACTTTTCTGGGTTCAGGTTCAATGTGGACCTGCACAGGCCAGAAAGATGCCTGGGCAGCAAGGGATGCTGGAGAGTGGAACAGGCATAGACACCATCTCCCCAGTCAGTCTGCTGCACCTTTCTGCTTGAATCACAGGCCCTGCCATTCTGTGTGGTTATAATTAAGCTTGAAAGGATTCAATGTTTATTTTTTATGAACTCAGATGGATAATATTGATGTTTATTTCCAAGACCTTTTTTTCTTATTATTTTTATTGACTTGAATTTTTGCACAAGCAAGAAGTTCAGAACCACCTGAGAGACTAATTGCTGCTTATTCAACTTGTATTGACTGTGGAAGTCAAGCTTCATAATGGATTCCAAAATAAAATCAGAACTAATGATAATCATCATCTTGCATGATATTAATGCCTTATTAATTGACTCCAAGATAGAAACGGAAGCTTAAAAAAAAGCCTTCTAATAGAAATGCAGCACATCAAGATACTTTTGGAACTTCCTTTCTGGAAACTTTTACCATTGCTGGAAAGTTTTGTCTTTTGCTTACAGCTGATGGGAAGAGCTGAAGGTTATTCGCTCCATCTTCCAGGGCTTTTCTGTGCTTGTGGCTAGTGGGAGTGCAGGTGGTGACCAGTATGGGCTGCTCTGATAACTTGCTTAAGGGGAGTGGGTTGGATGTCTCACTATCCTTCCAAAACATCTCAGAAAGCTATTCTCCCATCCATAGAAGAAACTAATCCCCTCCTGGGCAGATTTATGTACTCTGTTTCCAGTAGATCTGAACACCTCACAGTCACAAATGAGTCACTGCCTCCCTGACAGACAGAAAGGTTTATAGGCCTTCTTTCACAGAGAAGAAACACAAACAAAGAGACAATTCCATTCCCACCCCCGCTCACCCAGGAAGGCTCTGGCTGATAGGAATTAAAACTCCAGCAGTCCTGAGCCCAAGCGCAGCAGTCTAGCCACTGGATTATCTTTCAGGTTGCTCTACAGGCCCAGAAGCCCTAATTGATTTGTAACTGCCCAGGACACAGGCAGAGACATCTGGAGCTGAAAAGCCACCATCAGATACCAGTGCCTTGGAAACAGAGAAGGGATGCAGGAAAATAAATGCTTGCTATTTTCGTGATGAGTGCTCTCTAGGGATGAATGCTGCTTTCTGCTGAGGGGGTCTTATCTCGTGGGGCACAGTATGGCACACCAGGTGACAATATGTATTTATTACTACTTCCAGCAAGAAATTCAGATCCTGAGATTGCCAAGCTTGCTAGGGACATAGTTTGATGTGGTGGCTCATAGTGGGATATGGTTTGCCATCACTTAGTGACATGAGAGTTGCAAGCATATGAAGAAAGGGTAGAGAGGGCCAAAGCTCTTAAGAAAAATGCATTGCCAGAAAAATTCCAGGAAATCTTAAGGGGTAAGAGAAGGGTCCTGAAAAGGGGCCCAAACAGTAGAAGTGGTTTGGTTTTCCCCTTCTCTGAGAGCATCTCAGAGTTAGAGTATACCTGAGATTTTCCAAACCCTAGGAAAGATCTGCTTCAAAAATCAGACCTCTCTGGATGATATTTATTCTCGTTTGTTCAGCCCTGACTTGAAAAGTATTATAAATTGGCCCTGGACTGAAAACCTAGTATTTTAGTTGAATTTACTGCTTATTAAGGCAACCTCATCAGAGAGCTTTTCTAGAAACTGGTGCCTAACTCAATTCTGGGGTCATGGAAAAAGGAGATTTAATGATCAGCTGGAGAGGTTAGGTCAGATGTGTGGTTTTAGATGCTATAACTCTGCCATCCCTCTTTGCAGTTGCAGGTGCTAGAGAGGGGACCTGTTACAATGCCTGCTGGATTCACAGAAAACCGAGCAGCAAATCCACTGGGTACTAGTACCTGTTCCCAGCTCACGTTTGTCCTAGCAGGCATTGTGAGACAGACCGACAGGAGACACAGGGAAGGTACAGGAATACATCATACAGTTTTTGTTTGCTTGTTTGTTTTAAAAGGGGAAATTAAATGGTTTGGAGCCTGTTGGGGGATGTAGAGCCTTTCACTCCCCCTTGGTCAATCCTTATCTGTGATACAGGTTGTCCATGCCTGAAAGCTGATGTCAGCCTTGAGTTTAAGTCCTGTATCTTTCAGGCAAGTGGTCAAACAGTCCTAAAAATAAATGTACCAGTGGTTGGCACTAACTGCCCTAGGTCCAGCCCAGATTTGAAGGCCTGGATGATGGAGGCAGATCTCCCTGTTGGCTTGTGAAAAGTCGTGCTTTCTGAACACAGCGCTGGTCCCAGGGGAGGCAGGAGAGGTTGACTGTAGTGGCACCAGTTTATGGGGAGCAAGCTTCCCACACCTCCATGACCGCATCCAACAGCTCATTCCACTGTGCACTCTGTGACTTACCAGACACCTGGAAGAGGCAAGTGGAGACCCCCACGTCATTGGAAATGCTGCACTCATAGCTACCGCTGGTCTCCCGGCTGACGCTGTCCACCTTCAGCTCCGAGTAGTCCTGCTGCTCTGCCAGGGGCTGCGCCAGAAGGGTCCCGTTGAAGCGCCAGACGGAGGTGGCCACCTTCATGGGGCTGCCCTTCAGCATGGTGCAGCGCAGGGCGACGCTGCGCCCCACGCCCTGGCGCACGTCCTGGAAGGCTGGCTCCACCACAGGGGGGACTGGAGACCAAACAGAGCAACAGACGGGGATGCCGTCAGGGAACAGCCGTCTCGCTCAGCACGGTCACCCCGGTGGTGCCTCTGAGGAGACAAGTACCTGTGATTTCCCAAAGGTTATTTGTTTTCTAGCAGGAGCCAGGCTTCATCAAATCAAAAGTTTCTGACTGAGCTGGGGCCACATCCTTCCTCGCATTTATTAGGTAGGGGTGGCCTTTAGCAAGTACTCATCCCAAAATGAGACACTGCTTGGAGGAGCTACCAAGACCTGTTCTTTCATTTGGGAAGTGCAACTCCAGCAGCTGAGTGCCACAGCTGGGATTCAATCCTCAGATTTTAATCAGAATAACCATAGTCCTCATAGCCAGCATAAACTGCACTCCCTGAGCAGGCAGATACGCTCCCAAACAGTTACACTGATGTCCTTCTGGTCAGCATCCAACAGGGTTATCAGGGACACCATGTTCAGATGGAAGGATACGCACTGGCTGTCCTCACAGAGCACAGACCCGAATGGGTGTTAGAGGGACTCTCCCAAATACATCAATACAACACATTAGGGACTGGCTACAGGGACTCTGGGTCCTATTTTTATCTCTGGCAACAATTCCCTCCATGTTGGGAGATGAGTCATGTCTCTCCATGTCAGCTTCTCTGCCAGTAGTGTGAGAATGGTGATGTGCGGCCACCTCCTTAGCAAATGGAGGCTACCAAGTCTTGTTCTTCAGCACTTGTAAAAATTTACAGGGACCTCATGATTTGGGCATGGTTGAGGCAGAGCAAGGAGCAAGTCTGGATTTGTATTTCTTGGGTTACCCCTTATTTAATGCAATGGCAGAGGACTTCAATCTCCACAGCCATCTGATGGACATGTTTCACTTGCAGTAAACTCTTAATTAAAACACTACAGCATGGGAATAATCAGCTCTCCCTCTAAAATGAGAAAAGCCTTCTGAACACAAAACAGCTGTTAGCCCAAATGTAAAACAGGGAGAACGTATTTAGAGCAGCTCCAGCACAACCACAACTCACCTTCTGCAGGTTCAAAGCTCTTCCTGCTCTTCCACAGACAACTTCCATGCGCTACAGATCTACAAAGCACCTGCCTCCTCTAAAGGTCTGCAGAGCTGCTAAACCCAAAAACCTGCAACACACAGCATCTGAACATGGTGTCCCTGATAACCTTGTTGTTCCCCTCCCAGGGGCAAAGCCACATCTATGGGTACACAGTGTACAAGCATCCCCCCTGCCTGGCAGCCCCTGTTTGACAGTGGTTGATTGTTTTCTAGGTATCCGTTCTCAACTCTCGGTCTCTGGGCCCTTTGCTGCACTTAAGTGGATTAAAAGCAGCCCTTGACTGAGCTCACGTTGCCGTGCTGAGTGGCATGGTCAGCTCATTACAGATGGCTTTGCTAGCAATGTGTCTCTGCGGGTGCTCCAAGCGCTGACTTGCCTTTGGCTCACACATCTCCCAACTCACGGTGAGAATAATGTGAGAAGTTGTTTGATTAGACCTAGTACCATGAATGTGTCATCTCCATCCCTAGCTGCTATCCCATTTCTTGGGTCACATCTGCTTCTTAATTGAAGCTGGTGGGGTCTCACATTATAATCAAGGCGAGCTGGTGATGTAAGAGGAAAAAAAAAAAAAAAAGAAACCAAAAGAGAGAGAAAAAGGGGAGAGAAAAGAGAAAGGAAGGCTTAACAAAAAAAAAAAAAAAAATGGCACAGCAGCTCCAGATGTATTCAAAGCAATCTATCTCACAAGGAGAGAGAAGGGTGGGAGAGCAGCTTCCCTCACTACTCTGAGCAGCACCTGTGTACAGAGGAAGAGAAAAGGTCTGAAATTGGACAAAGTGCCCCCTGCAAGGACACATGCTGCAAGGAAAGTGCCCCCCTGGGCCCCACTGAAGGAGCATCTGGGGATGATAAAGGATCACAGAGGAGCAGGGCTGGGACACTCCAGATGCTTCCTTAGGTCACAGAAACAGCAGGGCAGTCAAGGATGCAGAAGATATTTAATATTCTGTACTGGGAAATAGGATTTAGCTTGATTTGCACTGGGACAGGCTTTGGGCCTATATTCTCTCCTTGCAAAGGCATGTGTGAAAGTGCCTATACAGTAAAAATTGATTAAATTTTCTCCTCTTGTCTCTGGCACTAGGAAACACCCAACTAACATTAACTCTGCAGGTGGTCCTGGAGCCGCTGGAGAGCAAGCTGAAGCAGGTCATCCCATCACTGCAAAGAATGCAGTACTGCGTCAAGGCGCTGCCCCTCCTGAAGGCTGCCAGTGGATATGAAAGCAAAGAAAGGTCAACAGCAATCACAGAGCCAGATATCAGCTCTGGCCTCCAACACCTGCTGGGGAGCCCACACTTCTTCAAGTAGGTTATACGCAAAAGGGAGACCCACCACCAAGACAAGGATTCAGTCTTCAAATCCTAGCAGATGACAACACGTCCTTTTTTCATCCCTGGCTTAAATGCAAAAGAAAGCTTGTTTACATGAGCCAGTGCTCCAAATCCCCAGATACGGGAACTGAAGAGCTCCAGTACATCTGAGATGGCGACGGTCTCAGAGCAGAGACCTCCAACATGACTCCTGCACAGACACCTTTAGGGAGCTACAGGCAATTATAATGATTTTCCAGGTGTCTCTAATACCCACAGGGAAGCAGTGTCTGGCTATTCTGGCTCACTAAGCTGCCATGGTGCTCTTTGAGGAGCTTGGATATGAACCCCCAGTTTTTAGCCCAGGTCTAACGGCTAGTCCTTGTCAAGAGGCTCCTCAAATGCCTTTCTGTATCTCCCCTGAACTCCAGTGCATGCAGCTGAAGTGCTCTCTTAAGCAGTAGCCATGTTACACGCAGCAGGTTGCAACGCTTCAAGGAAGAGGTAGAAAACCTCTCTGCACGTACAGGGCTTTGGGATCCCCTGGTAAGAAACACAGCAAACAGAGACAATTAATGTTTTCTCTCAGCACACAGCTTAACTCTAGAAGAGCTAGCTGGCAGGAGGAGTGACGAAAGGGGTGAAGAGGGCGGACCATTAACCTTCTAGGCAATGTTGAAGGAGTGAAGCTCCTCCAGCAACCTTGCTAAGATGCAACTGCTGTGAAACACAAGGCAGGGCAGCCGGCCTTTGCAGCAGAATTAGCTTGTTAGAAGCAAATCAAATCTGCTGAACACAAGCAACCTACTCCAGCATGCCAGGCACCCTAAAGCCAAGCCAGGCTGTAAGCAAGCTTTCTTGCTGTGAGCCAGAGCAGATGCTCTGCACCAAAGGGTTGCTAAGCTATCACATTGTTCATTCACATAGAGAAGGGCAAGAGCAAAGGAAGCACCACAGAGAAATCTCAAGTGTTGAGGGGTATTTTTTTGTGTCCCCAAACCCTCTTATTTTCTTGGTTTCACTGGAATTAACCAAGGCTGAGATGCTCATCCTGCTAGATGAGTGAGAAGTGCACTGGTTGTTGAGCTGTGGTCAAGTCTGTAAATATTTATTTTAATTCTGTTTTTATTTTAGCCGTGAGGAAGCGAGGAGTGTACTTCCTTACAAGAGCCAAAGTGCTTTTAGGAGAGACCAGTCTCTATGCACTGTTACTGTGCTGTCCTGTTTGGGCACAGCTCAAGAAGGGGTACAGTGATCCCTGCAATGCCGTCTGCTGCAGGTTCCCATCAAATTTGGATGCCTCCAGAAGGCAGAACTGCTTCTTTCACCAATGATGAAGTCAGAGCATCCCAGGATGGCAGTGCTGCACTACGGAAAGTTTTTCACTTGTGGGGTAAGTACAGAAAAAAAATTTCACTTAAAATTTTTTTTCTCCACTTTAAAAAATGAGGATGTTGTCACGAGGCTTCTCAATCTGATATGGATGAAAGGCAAAGAAAGGCTTACATTGGATTGATGCACAGAAATCAGTGACAAGCTTAAACACAAACCAGCATTGGCAGAACAGGGGAACACTAAGTGAACAGACCTCGCATTAAGTGTTTAGGCAAGGACTGAGAAGGTTGCAAATCCTAGACATCACCATACAACGCTACTATGCAAGACACACGCAAAGTCTGCTTTCCCACTGTAGCTTGAGGACTGCAAATAGCGTATCGCGGTCAATTCCCAAATGCTGGTTCGTTTTGAAAGGGCTGTCAGAGCTGAGGAGCTCACTTATAACTTGCTTTCTGACTCACAGGCAGCCCTTTCTCTTGCTGTAGCCCCCCTGACCAGCGGCTGACAACAGCCATCTCTGTAGGTGGTCAGCCGCCTGCATTGTACTGCTGGCCTATGCAGCTGCCATGGGCTGCTGCACTCTCATTTTTCTACAGGGATTTACTTCTCGCAACGCTTCCTCTGCTGCAAAGAGCACCATGGCACAGCAATGTCCAGGCAGAAAAAGAGAGGCACGAGCAGAAAGACGGCCTGCCTGAGGTCACACGAACTGACAGCATCAGACAGAAGCAGTGTAGGAGTCTTGTATTCTGACCCACACTTCAGTCCTTAGCCCAGGCTTCCTCCCCTGTGAAAAACACCCTCTACTCTACCCTTCAGAGTCAGTCATCATTTACATTTTTATTTAAATCTAGAAAGTGCAACACGTAACACAAGTGATGAAAATAGCAAGCCTTGCTAGATTGGAAGCGGCTTTATTTTCAGCAGCTCTCGTCCCACTCTGCTGATGACTCCCTCCAAGCTCAGCCATGCAATCACAGTGCCAGTGAGACTGCTGCTTGTAGCCTTCACCTTATCCCACCTGTGAGAGCTGATTAACCACTCACTCGCTGGATTAACATTGTAAAGGGGACACAGACAACTTGGTATGAAAGACCGCACTTCATGGTTAGTTACAATTATTAGCTATGTTTTGTTATCCAAAATGGCTAACAACACCAGGCAGTAATTTCTCTCTCTGGAAAGCAAATCAGCACAGGCTGCTACTAGGGCCTTATGACACTTATATGGCCCCATCCAGCATTCATTTAAACTCTGATAGGTGCCCTTCTG